TGTGCCAATATGACATCTGTAATAAAAGGGAACTTTGAGGAAACTCAAGCCTTGGAGTCTTCTTTCGTTGGAGGGGTGTGTGTTACTTGGAACCCTGACACTGATTGACACATGTTGGAAAATACTATTTTTGATGTGCAGCAGAAAAAAAAGGGAGTCAGTAGCCTTCCTCTTAGGCTGGGGGCAAGCAAAGAATGATCCTGCCTTGAGAAATGGTTTGTGGTCCCTAATTGTGCTGTGGCAACCTGATCATAGGAATCAGACCCGAGACTAAGAGAGAATGAGTTCTCCCATAGCTTAGGACCCAGGTTCAAGTCTGGTACTCAATGCATTGAACTCTACATCCTCTAGTCAATACAAAAATATTTTGCAAGAATTTTCACAACTCAGGCATAGGTGAATTTCTAACCTCCGATGAGCATTAGAGTGTAATGAGAAAATCTCAGCTTGGGCAAAAGGAAAGAGAGCATTGATTTTTTTGCCCATTCCTCCTTGCATTCACCTTTACCTTCTGAATATCTGTTCCAGGTATTTTGGAAATCTCCAAACAGCAAAGAAACCGGAGCTGGGGGAAATGATGACATTTATATGCTCTTCGCACCAGTGGTAGCCTCCACTGGATGATTCCTCCTTTAGTTAAAACACTGCATCCACTCCCCCCAATGCCAGTTCTCTCTTACACACTAGCATCAGATGTGACTAAAAGAAAGCCATGTGAGTAGCAAGTCCAAAGAGTGTTTGAAAATATTATTCATCCATTTACAGCAGCTGAGATCCTGACATATCTTGCCCCATTGGACCAGGAAGGAGAAGGTGACAGTGTGTTCTTTAATGCATCCTTCTTTTCAGCCAATGTACACTTTATATCATTATTCTTGCAAAGAATAACATAGATTAGAAGTAGGGAATGGAAAGAGTGCTGCACAGTCATCCTAGTGGATATCTATGGTAGACATTTCTTGAATGATGACTTTTCTGCAGCTTTGTTATGGAGGAAAGCTAGGGCTTGGCAAAGGTTGCTTAACCAGGATCGTAGTCAGCTCCAGAGCTCTGAAAGTAGCCCAGAGGCTACTGTATTNAGTGGAGCTTGGTTCCCCATTGACTTTGCTTCTAAGAAAGTTGCAAAAGGTGATCATATGACTCCAGAACACAGAAACCATCATAAATATGAATTGCCAAACATCCATAGAAGTGTGAAAAATAGCAATAGCATAGCAATAGTACTTAGAATTTTTTTTAAAACTTTTGTATTATGTGTTTCTTTTGGTGTTGTGCACCTTGAGAGAAGGGCAGCATATAAATCTAAAAACCTAAACCTAAACCTAAACCTAAACGTATATACCGCTTCACAGTGCTTTACAGCATTCTCCCTAAGCGGTTTACAGAGCCGGCATATTGCCCTCCCAACAATCTGGATCCTCATTTTACCCACCTCGGAAGGATGGAAGGCTGAGTCAACCTTGAGCCTGGTGAGAGTCGAAATGCCAAATTGCAGGCAGCCGGCAGGCAGCAGAAGTAGCCTGCAATACTGCATTCTAACCACCATGCCACTGCAGCTGTGGTCATAAGTCACTTTTTCAGTGCCATTATCACGTTGAACGGTCACTAAACAAACTGTTTTTTAGCCGAGGACTACCTATACTATTTGGATCAGACCTGGATACCATGAAAAAGAGTTATCTGTTTTACCCATTGATCTGCCAGCATCCCAAAATCAGTGGTTCAATACGGAAACCTCTGCTGACATTCCTTTCCAGACCAATTTAGGGTGACTCCATCTCTGGGGATATATAAAGTGTCAACATTTTTTATTCAAAAGCAAGAAGTGGGGGGGGGGGAATATTTAGAGACACTCACGTAATGCTTGCCTGCAACTCTTTAAACCAAATGATGTCTTGTGCCAGGGCTGCACTGCAGCTGCAGAGGGCTGGCACTGCTGGGATGATGGATGTTTTATGTTTCATCATCTGCACTGCTCAGAGCTGTTAATTTTGTAGATCAATAAATAAAGCACATAAGGTGCTTTGCAGAGTTGCAGGCAGGTGCTACATTCACGCCCCCGTCCATTTTGATGCCATCTTATTTCTTTGAGTCCCAAATGTTACACAGCCATACTATGGAACTAAGCTAGACCCATATACATCTAGGAAAGCAAACCTCCAATTTACTCGGATTTGAAGCAAAATGCAATAGAGCATCCTAGAATGCAGACTGAGACCTGTAATCCCGATTGGAGTGGGTTTCTTTGTTGTTGTAAAGAATAAAAGTGAGCAGGTGAATGAAAGATAATGAATGCAACTATTTATGTGTACCCTACATTTTTAAATTTTATGTCTAATTTTATTCTAAGGAGATCATCTACGAGATCATGGGACTGGATTAGGGGGCTGGAGGCTAAAACATATGAAGAACAGTTGCAGGAACTGTGTATGTCTAGTTTATTGAAAAGAAGGATTAGGGGAGACATGATAGCAGTCTTCCAATATCTCAGGTTCTGCCACAAAGAAGAGGGAGTCAAACTATTCTCCAAGGCACCTGAAGGCAGAACAAGAAGCAATGGGTGGAAACGAATCAAGGAGAGAAGCAACTTTAGAACTGAGGGGAAATTTCCTGACAGTTAGAACAATTAATCAGTGGAACAACTTCCCTCCAGAAGTTGTGAGTGCCCCAACACTGGAAGTCTTTAAGAAGATGTTGGCTATCCATTTGTCTGAAGTGATGTAGGGTTTCCTGCCTAGGCAGAGGGTTGGACTAGAAGACCTCCAAGGTCCCTTCCAACTCTGTTATTCTATTCTATTCTATCATCTGCTGGCTCCATCTCTATTCTTCAGTAAAAATAGCTTAGGGAAATAGCTTAGATCAGGGGTGTCAAACTCAAGGCCGGAGGGCCAGATCCGGACCGGGGTGGGTCTTAGATCTAACCTTGGGGGCCATGCTGGAAACAGCAAAGGAGTGGCCTGCAATGCCTCTGCCAACAAAAACAGAGCTCTGGAGGGCTGTGTGCCCCCCACTCCAAGCTCTCTTTTTAGTGACAGAGGGTTGCAGGAGGCCGTCGCAGCCAAAAATGGTGCTCGGGAGCCTGTTTTTGTTGGCAGAGCTCTTGGCATCCCTGACATGAGTGACAAGCTGGCCATGCCCACTGGCTATGCCTACCCTGCCCCCCCCCAGGTCAAACCCAACCCTGATGTGACCCTCAATGAAATCGAGTTTGACACCCCTAACTTAAATTGATGTTTCTCAGCCTTGGCCCCTTTAAAATATAGTGGACTGCAACCCCCCAAATTCTTGGCTAGAAAATCCTGGGGGTTGAAGTACCGGTGCTTCAAAATGGCTAAGGTTGAGAAATACTGGATTATACTATAAATATCATCTACCAGGTAACTCATTGATTTTTTATAGTTCGATGGTGATTTAACAGGGTACGTGTGATGTAATCCATGCCCACGTGAAGGTCAAAAGTGTATATGGAAAACATTTAGACAAAAGGGCATGCTATTAAATTCATAAGTTTCCTTTCTGTTAGTCACAGCTTTTGAGTCAATACTTTAAAAAAATTGCATGGATAGAATGAAAGATGAAAAAAGATTGTTAAGAGTCAGATTTTCGTTTAAACTTCATCTTCTTATAGATTTTTTCTTTGGAGGCATCTTCTTTTTTTTATTGAAATGTTTTAGTAAATTTTACAAATATTTCCCCTTCCCCTTCCCTCCCTCCAGCCCAGCCCTCCCTCCCCCTTCAACCCTCCCACCCCCCAACCTCCCAGAGCAAAATACAGGGTATAAACATTTAACAATC